GAGACTTATCCCTGTGGCAGCAGTAGGCAGGCCTGGAACTTGGGCACAAACTTTTTGAACTTAACAGATGGCTTCCAGAAATGGATGAGGCTGAGCGATGGGGACGACTGGCCAGAGGAGGAAAACTGTCAGGTCATTCCTGGACTCCCTTATCTGACCTACCTCCTATCTGCCTACAGGTAAATGGGCCTATTCCCAGGGGCCAGGGCCATTGTGAGTCCTTATCCTGTTCTCATTGACCTTTCTTCCCCTTTCCTAGGTGTTGTTACAACAAGAAAGTATTGGACTTGGAGGAGGAGGGTTTCTGGCCAGAACTCCTGGATAGTGGCAAGATGGAGATTTACGTCTCCCACAGGTGAGTGGGGTGATAAAAACAGCCCTTTTGCTGAACCCTGACCTTTGCTTGAGTGACTTCACTTACGCCTCCTAACAACCCCTTAGGATGCAGCAGGTCAAGAAATGACTTAAGCACCATCGCAGCTGCACTGGCAGCAAGCCCAGCCCCCAGGGTATCCCTTCTCCCACAGGTGGACAGACCAACAAGGCACGAACTGTGTCTATCAGCTAATTGCCCAGATTCTTGATGCCAACCACGTCATCTTGGACCATTTCTCTCCTAAACCTTATCCCATCCGGCAGTGTAGAAACAATGTCATCTTTGAGGTGAGTCTCTGACAAGGGTGAGGGGGAAGGTCAGTGGAGTCTATGATGAACTATTGCTGCATAACAAATTGCCCCCAAATTTAGTGGCTTAACATCAACAGCAGTGATTTTATCACCTCTCCTGGTTCCTGAGTGGGGCTCAGCTGGGAGCTTCTTGCTCTGGACTCTCACATAGCTGCATTTAGACACTAGCTGGAGCTGGGGGCAGGGTGGGTGCAGTGTGTACACAGCAGCTGGTGGTTGGCCAGTATCTCCTGGTTTAGTATCAGAGCTTGGCCGTGGGACCTGTCTGTGGTCTAGTTTGGACTTCCTCACAGCATGGCGGCTTCAGGCCAGTCAGACTACTTCCTAGGGGCTCAGGGCTCCCGCATGAGGGTTCTGGAGAAACCAGCAGAAGCTGCATTGCCTTTCTGACCCAGCCTTGGATGTCACTTGGTGAAAGTCACTCTACCACACTCTTGGTTACAAGCAAATCCACCCAGATTCAAGGAGGTGGGAGGTGATTAGATACCACGTCTGGATGAGGAGTGGTCTGATTCTAGAAGTACAGGGGGCACTGGAGGTGCTGTCGCAGCCATTTGTGAAAAATTCCTCCTGCCAGAAGGCCCCAGCCTCACCTTTTGAGGACAAAGCCATGGCACAATGGGACTTACCTCTTTCTCTGCCTACAGGTCAGCCATGTGTTCTCCAACCTCAAGACGGGCGTCCGCTTTGTGTCTCTTGAACACTGGATCTGGGATATGGAGCTCTACTCTGAACATTGTGGAATCTATTTGCCCGACTCCAGTGTGATCGTGCAGGTCC